GAAATTCTCAGTCTTTTGGTTCGCCTAATTCTAAACTTTAGAGGTCTGGTAGCAAAACTATTGTTGTATAAGGGATCGATTACTGGTACAGTGATACGATATTTCTTTTGACTATTGGGGTTTCGAATCGAAGGGCCGTGTTTTCAATCCATGTTCTTTCTTAACCGGCAGTGCTTTTATTAGGGGATCATGCTTCACAGATATTCACCATTGTAGAACATGGGTTATGTCAGTAACAGAATCAAGATGACAGAGCACTGCACATCCAAACCTAATGGCCACACTGATTGTGTGAGTCCATCCCTAGAGACCAATAATTAACTTTTAGGGGCCCATGGGTCAACCTTCAGTTATTTTGTGCCTTACCCATGATTCTCTCTTTTCTTCTTTTTGTTTAAATGCATATATAGCCACAGATCTTCTTCCTCTATATAAACATATATATGTCGTATATATAATCTTATAAGCTTAATTTCTGATGCTTTAAACAACATAGAATGGCTATTCTTTTTATGTGCCTGTAACATGGGAAATGCCATTTAAGTTCCATGTTTATTATCAGAGTTATCAGAATTTATGTAAATTTATAAACTTGAGCTTTTCGAGTCTCTGGTTTCTCTATTCCGCAGTTCGTACAAGGAAAAGATCACCAAAATAATGGCCCTTGCAGGTCAGATATTGGGATACAGAGCATAGAATTATTATACTAATCTATATAAATGCATGATCATGATAACGGTGGAGCCAGTGTCTGTTTTGATAAATTGTGAATCCCATTCGGGTTTCCTTTAATTGCGTCGCAAGGGAAAACAACACCACACAACACAACTAGATCCTCATACCACTTCCGGGGAGTTTTTTTTTTTTTTTTGTCCTAAATGAAATATATATGCTCCACAAACCTGGGTAACCAATTTTCCTATTTGTCACAAGGCAGCGAACACTAATATCTAGGCCATTCTTTCTTGGTAATCGCTGGCTACTTGACTCTGACTCGAAGGCTGAGTGACATTAAGCACAGGCAGGTTAAATTTATAGCCGAAATTAAATAGCAACATTTAGGGTCATATACTTCTTGTTTGCCCCATTAATTGCAAATATTGTGTCCTTGCACATCATTCCCATCCTATATATGTTGCCTTTGTACAAAAAAATTTGATGCAGAAACAATTTCGTGCAATTGGTTCTTAAATGCAAAATCTGGCACTCAGAGATATTATTTTTTATAATATATATTTATATATATCATCTATTTATCTATTATCTGTCATATTTTTATTTATCTATAAAAATATGAACTCAAAAATATTAATAGTAATTAATTTAAATACCCTTATAAAATTTTAAATTAATAAATTTATTTATAAATATATAACTTTTATTAATTTATTTAAGTTTAATTTAAATCAACTAAAATTAAAAATATAAAAATAGAGTTTATGTAAAATTAAACTATTTAAAATTTTAATTCCAAAGGTGTTAAAAGTGATAGGCTAAAATCTTCTTAGTAAATATTTATATAAATTTTAATTTAAATAATTTTTTTATTATTAGACTTTTTTTTTAATATAATTACACTAAAAAGTGTTAAAAGTAATTGATTAAAATACCCCTAAAAATTTTTTAATTTCAAAAATATTAAAGTGATTGATTAAAATATCATTAATAATTTTTTTATAAATTTTAATTGAAATTAATTTTTTATTTTTAGAATTTTTTATAAATAAAATAATTTTTCATATTAAATGAAAATACAAATAAAATGATATCAAAACTTAATTTGCATTTCTCTTAACATATATATATGTATATCTTTTAACATTTAACGATGCAAATTAATAAAAAATTTATCTAACTTTTAATGTCCTTTTGTTATTTAAATTAAATAAATTTTATATATAAAATAAATTTATAAAGTAGAAACAAATAATGAAAAAAATATTTGTTTAAAGATAAAATTTTCATCAAAATCTCTATATATTTTAATTGTAGGATACACTTTTACTCTTTTTAATTTCAACAAATTTAATATGAAATGAAAACCAACAACAAAATTATTAAAATAATAATGATAAAAATAAAACAGGTTTAATATTAATAAAAAAGTTTAATAATAAAAAATAATTTAAATTAAAATTTATCAAAAATTTAATAATAAAAAATCATTTAAACTAAAATTTATTAAAAATTTTATTAAGTGTATTCCAATCATTCACTTTTAATACTTTAAAATCTAAAATTTTATTAAAAGTATTTTAATGAATCACTTCTAACATTTTTTAAATTTGTAGTTTTATATATTGATAGATGATATATATATATATATATATATATATGAGCTAGACACAAAACCTAAAAATTAAGTTTACCAACCAAGGGCTTTATTCCAAAGCTTTTTCGAAATTCAAATGGTGGTGGCACCACACCAACATGCCCCTTCGACCTCATAAATACATATTGAAAGCTCAAGGGTTTGTTTCAGTGAGCTTTCCCATTGTCTCTAAACTTTTTATTTAATGTACCCACCCCTTTTTTGTTGTTGGGTTGGTGGCAAATTCAATGCTAGCATTTCCAAGGCCACATCCATCTCTCTCTCTCTCTCTCCCTCCCTCATTCATTAAGATAACGAGAATCTCGCTCAACAGCTTCTTCACTCTGCGAGGGACACATCCTATCTCCTTCCCCCCACCTCTATTAATGTTTCTTCTCTTCTATACCCAGGTAGCTGTTTTTTTGTGCCTTTTTACTAGTTTTGAGTCTGTTGAAAGCTTTCTTATATATCTTGCCTCTTATTTGCTCATCATTTTCTATGATCAGTTGAAGTTGAAGGTAAATATATTGTTGCTGCTCATCTTTATAAGTTTACCAAAGGGCAAAGGATTGAATACTGTTTCATATGTATGTAATATTTTGTTGTACTTCTTCTTCAATATAGCATCAGCAGCGGTAAGATGGTGAGAGCACATGGAAAGTATAGTAACATAGGATAGGAGTCTGATCGAGATATTGGTGCGGTTCAATCCAAGAGCATCACTCTAAAGGCTAGAGTTCTGTTATTTGATTGAGCCGTGCCAATATCACGTACAACTGCTCATGATTTTATCTTTGCTTTCAATCAAAGTATCAAAAGTTCCGAGGTATGTTCCCTTCTCTTTAACTAGCTACATCTATATATATTTTTCTCAATGCATAGGCGCTGTTACTTGGAGTTAATTATTGGCCTCTTTTCTCCATATATATATATAAATGATAATCTACTGCTTTCTCCCTTTTGATTAGATAGATTTTGAATGTGTAGGGATTCATATATATATATATGTATATATATATATATATATATCATATAAGATTAGCGGTAAGTTGTCTATCATATTCATACGCATTGAGTGCAGGCTTTTGAAGCTATTATTAACTATTTTTGAGTTGCATGCATGGAGGCTTGAAGAACCAAGTTAGGAACATAGGAGCTGTCTGGACATTACAAGGTGCAATGTATTTTGTTGAGTTGCCATCAACCTCAAGGCCAACTTTTCATGCAGGGAAATTTCCACCAAACGTGGTTGTAAATGGACAAAAAAACCATGTCATAATTATTGAGATGATCTTTTTTTGTGTGTGTGTGTGTGTTTTCCATATTTCTTGTTGTCCAAAAGGCAATGGAACCATTTGTTGAATCAGAGAAACTTTTGTGGGTTAGGTAAGATAGATGTAATTAATGAAATTGAATTTTTATTGTATCAGTTACTTCTACGTAAAGATCCACAACTTTTTTGACAAATGGAGATGGTTATGGGTAGTTGACAAGATTCTATCTACCTCAAGGCATGTTTGTGACACACACTCCATAGTCCAATTTATCTTTCTGAAAAGATATACAAAACTATTGGATATGTATCTAGAACGAATGCCTGCAATTTCTTTTCATGCCGTGGCCGGGTGACCGTTTCAACAATCATCCATCATCGTTTATGTAATGACTTAAAAGTTTTCTTCATTTGAATCACACTTAAAGGAACTGTTCATGTTTTGTTCAAGTGCTAATTTATGTTTAACATTGCTATTGCATTCCTAATTAAGTAGCATAGGGCTGAACTGTATATAAATACATGAAATATAAAGTGGTTTGGAATTATATATATATACACCTCATAAGTGCAATAAAATAAATTATGGAAAAGTTAGCCCCATCATAATCGACTCCAGACACCATGAAGGTACACGAGACATGAAAAAAGCGTTTTATGTTGTCTCCATTGTGGCAATAACTTAATTTCTCGTAGGAAATCCTCCTGCTATGATGCCTTCACATTAAAAATAAATAAATCCAATAATGTGAAACATGAATTTTGTAGTGATTTTCTTTTATATATGAAGCTTGCAGCATCTAGCTAGGCCATGGCTTATTTCCAATCATAAGTCCTTGTGTTGCAAGTGTAACAATAGTTTTCCAACAGATTTTACTTAATCAGAGGCATGACTTTTGCGACCTAAAAGATTGGGGTCAGATGTAATTAAGGGAAACACAAAGCAATGAGTACTTTCTGAAAGAAAGAACTTGTAATAATAGAAAAGATAAGTTCCCAGCTGCATGGCCATTTTTATATTATCGGATTCTCAGGTTTGTTAATTGATGTAAATTTTGTAGTGAAAGCACGCAAAGTGAGTGAAACAGTTTCTGATTTTAAGCATAAAATAAGAGCAACAGGAGAACAGATATGGCCACAAGAGCATATTCCATGGCAAAATTATGAAAGCCAGAAAATATGTTGCATTGTGGCTTATTGGAAATCCTCATGAGAGGTTTGAAGGATATAATAAACTCGCTTCATTATTGGATGGCCCCAAAGACGCTTGTTGCAGAGTGGATGGAGGGTCTAGCTTTGTTAAGTGACTCAGTGCATGCAGCGCTACAAGCAGGGAAATACTGGGCATTTTAATGACGACATTTGTTTAATTAGATAAGAAAGCTAAACCCATCAGCTTGAAGGAGTCATGTCGTTATCTACCAGTCTTTTGATATTCAGCATAGGATCGCTGCCAGCATACATAAACTCAGACTGTGGCTCTCGTTTGTCAAACAAATCATGATCAAGAATAATAAATAGCATATCGGAATCAAAGTTGTTCATATGAACGACAGGAGAGAGAATTATCTTGAAGATATAAATGTCTAACATATTGATTTTATTGAGTAGGAGCGGCAAAATGCTGCCCACAAAGATTATTAGTAATTATGGATCTGATCATATCACATGGCAGAGAACTTGTAATACAGCCCTCCACCATTCAAAGAATGAGGTTGAGGCAGTTCTGTCTTTCTTTCTTACAGCTCTTGGGGTTGGTATCCTCAGATGAAGGAGGGGGGTATCCCAGCAGCAAGGGGCCTCTCTTCCATTACTATCGTAAGCTCTAATATTAAAAATTCTTTACACCCACGAAAGAAATGCTATGAGTGTGGGAAAGAAGAAAAAAGAAAGGAAACAAAAAGCATCTCTATGCCTGCTCTCTCATGTATATCTTTCCTCAGAAAGAAGTATTTCTCACCGTTTGCACAAAGTTTGTGCTCCATAAAGCATTCTTGTCCTCGCCACAACGTTCATGAACATCCATAATCCTCTCCACAGACCTGCAAATCCCACTGCACCTCCAGTCAAATGAAGCAACACAGATATTACCAGATTGCGCTTTCCATTCACAATCTGCAAGAAAAAAAGTCAAGTCAGCTCTACACTACTACATGAACAAGACAACACAGCTTAAATGACACACAAATGAAATAATACACACACAACCATTGTTATCCCAATACTGAAAACTGGCCTCTGATAGGTTCACTGCCCAAACTTAATATATGACTGGGCCTTCAGAAAACAGTATTAACAAGAACTACCCACCCTGAAGGCAGGAGTAGTGACACCATAGATCACATTTACATGTTCACTCATCAGATTTTTCATTTATGACATATATTTGGCCAAAACTACATTTGTAAACTAAAACACTTATCCAAGGGAAGCAAAGCTCCCATACCCTACCCCTTTCCAGAGAGAGAAAATATGTTTATGAGACATAATATCATAAGATTTACCTGGCGGAGTACCACAGCAGAGTCTCCTATCATCCACATGCTCCACATCTAAACCAATAAACCAAGATCCCAATGAAACATCTTCATTAGCATATTTATGCAGTACATTCCTGAGATAGAGCAAAATTATTATCACTAAAGGCAATAACAAAGTTTTGACACTTCTTAAAGCATCTGAGATTAGAACTTTTGAATTGAACATGTGCAAGCCCATGTTCTACAGCTTGACACATGCAACTGGAACTAAAACCTCGTTCTAGTTGCCAGTTCAATAACAGGACAGACCAGCTTCCTGTTAGTTGAAATGCACACAATCGATTAATGATAGCAGGGTTGTGGTCATACCAAAGAGAAAAGACAAGTAGGAACTCACTGATTTATTGATATGTAAGTGGCCAAATCTTTTGATATAGCATACAGTTGCCCTGTAGCATGTCGAAAATATTTGTTTCCAACCTCACCAAATTTCCAGTACTCAGGTTCATGGTATTTCACTCCCCTATTAAATAAAGAGCATATATATAAGAACACCCAAATCTTATCAATAGCTTAATATAAACTAATTTAGAAAGCACAGAAACCCAGCTTACTTTCGAGCTAGAACAGGACCAGACTTCATGCAGCCAACATAAACTCGAGGTTTCTTTCTATGTCCAGCTAAAGTCATACCAAGTGTTGCTGCAATGTATTTAGCATATAAACTCAAAAAGAAGAGAAATAATTTTATTCAAGAAAAAAAACTATGCCACTTCTCATAAGGTTTTTAGTTGTTTTAAAACTATGATCATCATATTCCTACAAAAAGTTTGTAGATACTCATCATAGAACTTGGATAATAACTTTATCTCATTCTAAATAAGAAATTAAGGCATATTAACAAAGGAATTACATTATGTATAAAGATTATTATACATGCAAAACGAAAGAACAAAGTTTTGTTTTACCCAGATTCACATGAACATCATCATCAACTTTGACATAAAATTCTGCATCCCACAAGGAAACAGCAGTGGCAAAATAAGTTTTTGTCTTGGCTGACAACTCCAGGTAGCCCTCAATGTGTTGCTGAAGAAACAGAAGTAAAGGCCAGTTACATATTTTCTATGGTCTATTCACGGTTACAAAAACATTAAGACTACTGGATACAAAAAAGCACTAATAACAACAGAAAGAATAGGATAGAACATAAGTATTACCAATCTCAGAAAATCTCCATGCACCCTTTCCTCTGCTTCAATGGCTTTATCAAGAATGCCACCCAATGTTGAACTAGAGAAAAGACCAACCAATTAATTTAGTTTTCTACTCCATAGTTTACAGTCAAATAGTTTACCGATACATGAGACTTCTTCAGTAAAGAATCATTAGAACTTGTAACTTTTGCGTAGATAAAACAACCACACTCAAATTAATTGGCAATGTTAAGCAAAATGCTTTTACAAACAGTTGCAGATAAATTATAGCAAATAGCCAAAGTATTTTAGAAGGACCAGATAGGTAAAGGCAAAAAGGGTGGAAATTACCTGTGACCTATAACAAAGCGTATGATGATGCCTTTCTCTTCTTCCAATTTTTTTCGCTTCTCAGCTGGGACATATATAGTGGATTCCATTTATCATACACCAAGAGGAAGATAATAGAAACAAATAAAAAAAAAGGAACCACTGAACTAGGACTTCTATGAAAACAGTTAATGCACCTTGAGGCATCCAAGTTGCACGCACTGAATCTCTCCGCTTACGACTACTAAAAGCTGTATTGATTCCTATAACCATAAAATATTTTCCTTTTAAAGTTGATTCAACATTCTTCAAGTCCTTGGATATCATAGGGTCTTTCATAATTGTCTCACGTTCTGCCCTAGCGGCCAGTAATTTCATCTCCAAATCTGAAATGGCTTTATCCACTATCCTGCATTACATGTACAGCAATAAGCTATGCAATTAAGGCAACATTAGAGTACAATACTTCAAATGCAGATGTAATAAACATCAGCTTGGCTTACTGAATAGAATGTTGGGACCCTGAAATTCCTCTAGAGCTATTGGCTTCATTTCTTAAAACCTTCTAAGTTTGAGTAAAAGAACAAATATCACAAACAATTAGTTAGCAGGGATCAAATCCAGAGAGCAAAGTTTAGTGCTAAATTGAAGATAAAAGTTAAGGCCATCAGAAGTCATTAGAGTATAAAAGGTTGCTATACTAAAATGAATGCCAAATTCATTTTTCTTTCATGCCAACAAGTAGGCACTCCAAAACTCAATCATATAGATAAGTAAGACTGGAACAAATGTGCGACAAAAAGCACTCACGATTTTCAGATCACAGTCTGTAAGTTGTTTATCCCCACCTCTAAATGTCCTCGGAATGCCTTTGGCATCAGGCACCATCCACATCCTGATTCAGTATTTCATAATTAAAATTATTTGCGTATGCTAAAATGTAAGCCATGGCAAAAGTTAACTATTGAACAAACTATATCTTTAGTCGTCTGATTTTACCAAAAAAATAACAAAAGAAGCCTAGAGACACAATAAAAAATTGTACCATATGGTAACAAATTCTTTTTAGTAGAGATATAAATATTAACTAACACCTTTATCAATCTAGATAACATTGTTTAGGCAAAAGTTTTGAGTTTTTCATTTTACCAAAACAACATGACACAAAAAAAATGGTGTTAATAATCTTTAGACAATTAGGACTTTCCTGTGGCACTATTCAAAGCTCTCCGTGAACTTTAAGGGATAAGTCACAGATACCAACTTCAGCACTCGACTACAGCTTTCCCCTTGCAAAAGGGTGGTTGAGGAAATATCACAGTACAAAGGAAAAAAGGTGCAAAGGAATTGAAACAGCAAAAACTTAGTTTTACCCTACCCAGATTAAGAACAACAAAGAGAAACATGTACACAGTTTTTACCACTAAAGCCACGATTCCTGGAAGTGGTACAATCCAAATAATTAGCTAACAGTTGGTTGCTTCCAAATTATTTATAGTCAACAATTAAACAAAGTCCAACACTAAACTTTTTCAGTTTTCGATAATTTAACATTCATGTACAATGATTACCACAATTTACAATCATTTTCATCAAAGTACTTCCAAAATTTCTTTCACGAGATCTACCAAATTCTCAAAAGTAATCACTATTACCAAATGGACCAAAACGCATAATTTAATCAGGCATCCACACGGGAAAAAAGGCAACTAAAAACTGCAAATTCAGGGTTAAAAACGGAATCCCAGAAGGCCAAAATACCTGTTGGTGAAGAACATTCCAGCGCAGAAGCTAGCAAAACAAAGCAAGAGAGCCAAGTTCCTTGGTAAAACATGCTTTAAAGCAAACTCTCCTCTACTCTTCACAGACATTACGGTCTTAACTACAGTTAGTATTTTCTCCCTCAAAACATGCAAATTTGTACACAAGGATGGAAATTTGGAAGGAAAAAGAAAACCCAGAAACAGATTTAGAAAAGACAAGACGTCAGCGGTTTAAAGGCCTAGTTTTTGACACTCTTTCTCTCTCTTCCACCTCAAAGAGACAAGAGAGAGCACACTATGGGGGAAAAATAGACACACCAACTGCCCTTTTAATACTTCTAAATTACAAAACCGTTCACTTTAACAAACGGTCATCAATATAAATGTCTTATTTTTTATGTTTCTATTTTCTCCCCTTAGTAACAGTCTTACAGTTTCTCTTCACTTCGAGCTTGCAACCGGTTGTTTTTTTTTTTTTTTTGTTTTTTTACTTTTAGCTTTTATTATTGCATTTGTTATGATACATTAATTTGAATAAAAAATCAATATCTATTTTGACCAATATATTTACTTTAGGGCCAAAGCCCATGGGAATCCAAGAGCTGAATTTGGACTAGTTATCAGTTGGGGGTTTGGTTAGAGTAAAGAACCAAGGATTTAATTGGTTACGGTGGTGCAATTCTTCTTCTTTTATCGGAAAAATAAATAAGATTTAACCATTCTTTTTGGATCTTTATCCTTCTCATTTGAGTTTTCTTGTGTTTTTAGTGACGAAAAGTGTTAGAAAAAATAAATAAGAGAAGAAAAAAATAATAAAAAATTTTAGTTTTGAGATGCGAAGAATATCATTTTAAAGATAATTATACTTTTAAGATATAATAAAGTCTTAAACTTTTCAATTAAAAGTAATGAAAATAGTTATACTGAAAGATTTATTTATAATGAATGAATAAAGATAAACTTTTATTCAGATAATTATGATCTTTTATATAATTATGACTTTTTATGAATAATAATCTATTTATATTTAAATAGTTATGACCATTTGTCATATAATAATTATTTGTGTTCAAACATAATTATTTAAAATATGAATAAATTAATACAAAAATTAATTTTATTCATCAATAATTAAATCTTTCTATTCAATGTAAGATGCATCATATTTTAATCTATCAACAATCTTCTACTAGTTTAAAATGTTGGTGCTTAATTTTTACCTTTCACACAAATAAATATTATGAATACAAAAAGGTATTTCTCGATGTAAACTTTTAATTAGCATATATATCTTAGAATTCTAACTAAGTTGATGGTGTTAACAGATTAAACCTCAACTTTGAGTATTAAAATTAAAGATATAACATATATAATACTTATTTATTCTTATGTTAGATGTTTATAACTGTTTTTAGTACTATTATGGCCATATACTAATCTTATTCATAAACATTTACAAGAGAGACCCCAATTTTTCTTGTTGAAGCAACATTAATTCTATGTTTATATAGGTAGAGTTTTCATTATGTCTCCATTACTTTAGACATTTAAAATCCCATTAAGATTATAAAAACTCATCATTCTCATGCAATAGATTATATTAGTTTCTAAAATTTGAATGGATTTTACTAGTGTTTAACAAATATATAACAATAACTTATTTTTACTTATTAAAGTTTTTAATTAGATGTTACTAATTCAAAGTTGGGTTTCCATTATTGGTATCTAATAGTAAGGGTTTTAAATCCATTTTACTTGAATACGACTAATCAAATATTTTGAAATTCAATTTTCTTTTATGATAATTACTACCACTTGATATTGAATCTCTAATATAATCATTTCAGGCTAATATGTCTAAACTTTTTATTTTACATATTATTATATGCTTAAGACATTATTGCCTCATTCTTATAATTTTAAGAAATAATTGGTTTTAGTTGTAACTACAACTCTATATTTATTAATTTTAACTATTCTATTTTCATACTTTTATACATTTTTAATACAATTATATTTCTAGTACAATCGGATAAACTCAATGAATAAACCAAATGATTGTAATCCTTTTAAGATTTTTAAAGACTTTTTTATAACTTTAGTAAGTGTTTAAACTTATTAGCTTGTATAATTTACTCATAAAATTATACTAAAATCTTATAACACTATGGTGGTAATTTTTATTTCTTTTGATTCTTATCACCCCCACCATGTGTAAGTATGCATTCTTTTATTAAAGAATATCTCATTCAATTATTAAGATATCATATATATTTAATCAATTTGCCATTTCATATATCTTTTGACTATTTGGGGATTTTTTTTTTTAGTAGGAGGCCTCCAAATCCATCTTTAGTGAAAGATAATTAGTTGTTATCTTAATATTTCGATAAAAATTTCAAAACTTTTATATTTTAACTCAGTATAAGAGTTTACATCAATAAGCATATTTCAAATATAATCATACTTCTATGGTCTCTTTTTAAGACTTTTATGTCAATTTATAAATATTTATATGAATCTATTTTATTATGGATATTATTAATAATTTTTTATTACCATGAACAAAACCATTTTCATCACCCAAATGGATCAAATAGCATTCTTTTTGCTATTATAAAAGTTTTCAAATTCATAATATCTTTGACTTACTCATGGCTTCCAAAGTAAATATACTTTAAAATTTTCACTATATAAAATCATAGATGATAAATCATTTGTACAATCCATGAATTAAACCATATACATAACAAAAAATTACCACAATGTGATCAAGATTGTGGCATCAATTTTGGCTTGTGGCTATTCTAAGTCAACCATAATAATCCACCTCATACTTACAAATCATATAGATTTGGCTATTAAAATTATCTCATTTATAATGATGGATTTTAGTGAAAACCAACTATCTCAGATTTTGTCATGTGTTTTCAATGCATATAGTAATTTTTCAATGACCAATTCCAAGTTCATAATTATTGAAACCTCTAAACTTGATTTAAAAATTTTATGAGAACTTTATTTCTCCACCATTGTGTAACCTATATATCTTTATTATTTACTACTTTTAATTGGTCAAAACATTTTTAGATATATAATAAATTCAAACTATACTCATAGGACCAATATGCCTATATACAATAAGAGTCTATAGTATATTTAACTCCAATTTCAAATACTTTCATAATCATTTTATAACCAATATGTTCATATCTAGATCACCATATCAATGCAAGTTATGAAATATAAATCCAAAGAATTATTTTCATAAAATAGTATAAACAATAATTATAATATGAGTTTTACTCATATTTCATGCAAAAATTCATGATGAATTTGCATTGGTTAAATAATTGATTGGCTAACTCTAAGGCTTACAGCTTTCACAAACCAATATTATTATCTAAGCTTATATGTTAATATGGTATATAACCAGCCACATTTTTACATTGTCATGAAACTATTGAAAATCTCATAAACTTGTTCACTTTTTATTTTAACAGCTTACAAAAGGTCATTTTTTTAGGTAAAATAAGCAAAAATACATTTATTGTCTTTAACCAATAATGTATTAATTAGATGATGGCATTCTATCTCCATAATCCATATCTTTCTTATATGTATAAGAAATAAAATTTCATCCCATTTAGTTCATTTTCATAATAAATGACAAATTATACCAATGTTCTCCATGCCATCATAAAATGAAATTAAACATATACATGTATTGGTGCCTTTGGAACATTGAATTTGAATGTTCTTTTCTAGTTTAGAAGCATGACTACTTAAACATTGATAAGCATTATTCAAAATGCTAGTAACCGACAAATGCTTTAATATTTTTTAATGACATGCTTTTTTGTCTAATCAATATCCCATATACGAAAAGCAACAATATTTTTTTATAACCATTGATTAACTTTTTGACGATTTTTTTATGATTTCAGCTTTGTAAATATTCACAATAAATTTTTATTTTGTAAAATAACTTCTAGTATAATACATCCAGCAGGCAAAATATATATCACATTGCCCATGTTTCGGATAATAATCATTATTGGGTTTATTATCCATCAATTAATCCATGAAACATCGTATCTTAATTATTCACATATATCAATTTAATTTTAATTGATTTTCATGAAAATTAAACACTAGTCAAAATTTGAACCAATAATAAATTTTAAATATATATATATCAACATTTAATTTATAAACGACCAACAAAAATAAAATTATACAAATAGTTTGACTCAATTTATTATCTCAATTTTGGTGCCATAATTTAATAATAAAACAAATATTATAGCCAAATCTTATTTTTTGTATATATTCTTTACTTGCATCTAATTTTTCATGGTAAATTCCTTTACCAATTTTTGATTATTTGTATAGAAACTATGGGACAATTTGCCTGTTCTATATATAACCAAGACATGACAATTAAACAATCAACCATTTCATTATAACCTAATTTAATTTGTTACTTGATAAAAAGTGATAATTCTTTTGATCGTAAATTAATTCATGTCTTTCTCTTTTATGTTTTCAAGCTATTTCTCATCTCAATCTTTATAAATATCAATTTTTCAAATAAATATAATACAATTCATTAAACTCAATTGTGAAGTCAATTTCAGTATATGCATAAATTTATATAATGTAATCAATATTTTGTATATTGTGTTTTGACTTAACACACTGATGAAATAAATTGTTAATGTGTTTATCTCATTCAATTAATCTTTTTACCAGCAATTATGCAAAAAATAAAGTACATAGCTCTAATGAAGATCTTTATGAAAACTAACATTTTTGTTTATAGAAACATTAATCCTTTGACATTTTGAGCCTTTTCTAATACTGATATCCAAATCATGCCAATTTTTTTTCTTTGTATTTTCCTTATGTAAAATATAATTTTCTCATAATTGCCTTTAAATTGTTAAAAAAAATAAATAAGAGAAAAGAAATAATAAAAAAAAATTGGTTTTGAGGTGTAAAGAACACTCTCTTAAAAGCAATTATGCTTTTAAGATACAATAAAGTCTCAGAAGTAATAAAAATGATTATGTTGAAAGATTTATTTATAATGAATGAACATATATAAATTTCTATTCAGATGATTATAACTTTTTGTATAATCATGACCTTTATGAATAATAATCTATTTATATTCAAATAGTTATGACTATTTGTTATATGATAATTATTTATGTTCAAATATAATTATTTAAAATATAAATAAAATTAATACAAAAATTAATTTTATTAATCAATAATTAAATTTTTTTATCTAATGTGAGATACATCACATTCTACACTACTACCAAAAAATTCTGATTTAATTTGGTACTTAAGTGTTTATAAAGAGTGACAAGCAATTGCCCTGCCAGGCAACGTATTCCATAGAAGAAAACCAGGATATATAGTCATAACTGATCATAACAAGACCTAGAAAGAGTAATCAGTAGTACTATTACCAACCCATTATTAAAATATTCAACTATCAACAAAAAACAAATGTGGCGAAAATGAGTTGGGGTTGGGGGGTTGAGTGAGAGTTGCAGCAAGGTATGGAAATGAAAAAGGCTCTGCTCCTAATCTAGTTGTAATAATGTGTTTTGATTAGGTTAGGCAGTCAATGTAACTATGAAACTGGAACTTCCTTTTACTTGTATATAAAAGGTTTAGTTCACACTATTCATCCTCCATTGTTGTGCTATTTAAAAAAAAAAAAAAAGATGGATTTAAATTTTATGGTCTTCCATTAGAGGACTCTATTTCTCTTAATACTTCTATTAATAGCCTAATGTTCTTAGTTAGTGTGAAAAAGGGAGAACTAAGTTCCTAATGTACACCTATATTGCAGTCAAATCAACATAAAAGAAGTTAATATCTTCTATTTTTCATCAATGGATTAATTTGAAAGTAAAAGGTGGCAGTACTTACAGTGGCAGCCAGCCATTGCATGCACCTTTCTAAGTGATCGAACATCTATTTGACAAAAATGCTTTGTTATGATGAATTAACAGCAAAGGATGTAAAGGACAAAATCAGAAAAACTTTAAGCCAAACTTATGGTGGGCATATAGCCTTTATAAATTAGATAATAGTACCACAAAGGGGACAATAGAGATGAGGATAACAGCAACTAAATGCAAAAAGTTCAAAGGATACGTGTTCAAAGTTAAGAACAAGTTTTTGTTTTTTTTTTTTACTATTAAAATTATCAAAAATTGAATTTTGATTTCTGAAACTAACACCTAACACTTTGTCAACAGATAAAACAGCCGTTAAACTAGTTCTGTATCATTTTAATGGGAGAATCGCTTGTGGCTTATGACACCTTTTATATGGGGCCGATGGCAAGCAGAAGGATGTTAAAATTAAGGGTTGCACGTTTAAGTAGAGGAAGTGGTGGGAGAATTTTTGAGAGAAAACATTGTTGGATTCGTGTCGGCAGAAAGGTAGAACCAAAAACCAAGTTGTGGAGATGCAAGATTACAATCTTTGAACCAAAATGTTGGTTCTGTACTAGATTTAGATACTAGAATATGATCAAGAATCTGTCTAACCAGGAGCAGGAAGAGGATTCTCTTCAACCTTTTCCTATAGTGGTGGCCCCTCATTCTGATGGAAATGGATCTGAATGTTTTATTCCCTTGTATATAAAACTTTAGTTTTTGTTTTCTTGCTTGGGGAAACGTGGCTTTGGAGGTGAAGCAACAAGAACAAGAGAGTGATATCAGCTGACGGCTAACAATGAAGAACATAAATAAAGAACTGATTCATCGAGAATTACGAAGAGTTCCCTTATTTGTGATTCTCAGCTGCGGTTGACCAGTTAAAATTTGCAAGCAACATTTGCTATTGGAGAAACAATAGCAAATTATGTATGGAATCTTGATTATCTCCCACTAGAGAAAATATGATTAAACCCAAAATCTCTCAAATTCAAAATAATTCAATCCAAAAAAAACCGAATTTAAAATATGATTTGCCACCGATAGGGACATGCCTACGTTACCACCATTGCTTTCCCCTGCTTTTATTTTTAGCTGTGAGCACCGAGCATTACCAAATGCATGGCCATACGCATTTTGCTTTAAAAAATTGAAGATATATATACATAAAGCAGTAAAAGAGTTGGGAGAAAGGAAAGTACAGCGCCAAGCAACAAATGTGCGGTGGCTAATATAAAAACAGCCAAACAGGTTAAATTTGGACGGGATAATAACGAGAGTTAGATGCTTTACTGCTGACTTCATTGGCTTGTGTTTTCACCACTACCAGCAAAAACAAAAGAAACAACAGAAAATGGAAGAAAAAGGAAATTATAAAAAAAAATAAAAATATAAAGACAAAGAGAGGGAAAAGCAGCAGTCATGAAAGGAATAGAATTACTAACTACTAAAAATTACTAAATCGTAGAGAAAAGAACAACTATAAAGATTTAAAAATTTGATGATAAATGCAAAAGCAGCCAAAAGAAGAGTTCAAACATGATTAACTGATTCTCTTTCCAACTATACCCAAAATGCAAACTCTTTTCCACTACCAGACAAAATCTAAGAGGCTACTAACTTTTTTTTTTTTTTCTTTTTCCTTTCCTCTTCTTGAAAAATCACACCAAAAAGGCAGCACCGATTTGTTTTAAGACTGTTTTCTAGTTCCAAGTTCATTACATGCCTACAAGATGATACGAGAAAAAGTTGTTTAAAGCAAAGGGTTACATGGGACCCAAAGAACAATGAAGATGAATACATGATGAACCTGGTGTTGATGAATGATGGTGGCATTATATGATGGTTGTAATATGAAAATGAAGATGGTGATTTGGTGTCGAACTGCTGGTGATAGTGTGACCGTGACATTATTACTCGAGAAAACCTGTTTTTGTTAAAACTGCATTCCTCACTTTGCTGAGATCTCTGCCCTTAAGCGTCCTTCCCATCCCTTCACAAACGGAGAAAGAAGAAATCTGACTCCTTGCGAGCTTCCTAGCTAGCCATTCATGTGGAGGAACCATATCACCATCTTCATCATCTCCACAACCATTATAATCCCCATCATCATTATAAACCAAACCATCCCCATTATCAACCCATGATCCGTTTTCCATATGTGCATGCTTGCCATATATCTTGGACCAATCAGGGATGTTCACTGGAGCTGATGATTGCTGAGCCACCTTGGTTTCAAGGCTTGCTGATGAGTTGCAAACTCTTCGGATCATTCTTGGTGCGCTTGGAAGGCACCATGCAGATGAAGAACTTGAGGAGTAATCCCTAGGTTTCCTTGGTGCGAGACTTGAATCTTCCTTCTCCTTCTCATAAGACCACACTTCTTCTGCATCAAAATCTTCATTTCTCATTGATCTCCTACTACAACCACCAGTTTTCTTGCTCACGATACCATGCCAATCTGCCATGACTTTGCTTTAGCAAAAAAGAAGAAGAAAAGATTCAGTGTTTGAATCTAGAAGTCAATAGCTTAGAGAAAGAGACTTAAGCAGAAATATAGTGGCTCTTTCGATATAAATATATACAAGGGGAAATCTGTTTATTTTCCTACATTTATTTATTTTAGTTCATGACGTTTTGTGTTGTTTGCAAGTAGATAAATCTGACTTTATTTCTTGGGAACAAAAAAGGAGAAAGATGTGAGAGAATAATATCAGGAATCTACCTTGCCTTTGTTACAATACCCTCCAAAAAAAAAACCAAAGCTTTTCGAAGATATCACAAATGGGTGCTTTGCTCAACCCCAAGAACCAACCAGGAGAAGGGAAGAGAAGCTGTGAAAACACCCTTTTTCCCGTGTCTGAATACTTCCAAAGAAAATCACAGATTTCAAGACTCTCAAAATAGTACCCTGCAATAACAGGGGTGGAAAAAGACAATAACAACAGATGTAAATGAGATCATTTCTTATTTTCCCCTACTTCTATGCCTTATGGTCTATCTATCTATCAAAATTCGAAAGTTTAGAAACAAAAAATTATGAGGAAAGTACTACAGCTACTACTATCTTAGTTGCCACTATTCTATAAACTAACTTACCTCCAAATGGTTTCAGTGAAGGTGGGTTTGGCTTTGGCAGTTGGCACCCATAGAAAAGAAGCTAGAGGAGGTTATTGGAGCATTGAGCAAATCCAGAAAGCAAGTCTTATCAGAGCATATTTACCTCCTATAGAAACTAGTCAGTTTTGAGAGTCGAGATATTTCTTCGTATGGGGTTTTATTGTTTTATACAAACTGAGTGTGCATTGATGATTTTATATAGTGAAGTAATTTTTTTTACTAACTTTTATAATACAGATAAGACTAAATTTTTGCAATCACTGAAAAGATTGGCCTCTGATTGGAAAAGGTGGAAGAGAAGGATTGGACTGACCAACTTCGCTAACTTTCGTAACCTTATCCCCAAGTCACAGCAACAACTCAGCTCATTCGGCGTTAGCAGAGGAAAAAAAGAAAAGGGTTCAGTCCCTAAGTGAAAAAAGCTATGTGAAATGTGAAGGTATGGAAATTTGAGGCAAATCTTTTTCTAGGAGAGGGTGCTGAAGGAGTAAAAGCATTTGGTTGGGTGAGAGTTGCATTGATATATGTGGAGGGATGACTTTGTTTTTGGTGATCTTGTGATGGATGGATATGCAGGATTTATGATTATCATAAATTTAACTGCGACTGAACTTTTCCATCTATTATTAATGTATTCACTACTTCATGCTTCAATGCTTCCTGGGTTTTGGGGAATTTAGTAGATGGTAAATAGAGAATGAGAGGGTTGGGTTGGGGGTGAGGGCTGAGGGGTCTTCTCAACTCAAATCAGGAGCTCTGTTGGACGATGACCAAAGAGAAAAGGGATATGGCCCTGTGCGTCAACGCTTTAAGATTTGGCTGTCAATGAGTTTACATAACAAAGCTCACTTATTACTGTTAGTAGTGTTAATTGTTTCATTTGCTTAGAGCAAAAACAAACAACTGTTGCTTTGTTTCAAGTTTCAGATATCCCAAATTAAAAAAAAAAAAATGTTTGTGGCTGCAGGGATTCGAGCCCAGGTCTCCACGGCCACAACGTGGAATTCTTACCACTAAACTACAGCCACAAAAATTTTAGAAGTTAAAACAATATATTGAAATTTTAGATCCATGGCCAGAGTTTTCCCCATGATTCGTGACTGGACAGGCAAGAGTTTCCAATCCTCTTTTTGTTGGCTGAGTTTGGTTGTGAAAAGGTAATTTCAATGAGTTTCCTAGTGCGAAACTCAAAAATCCTTGTCATAAATTAAAAAAAAAAAAATTCTAACGGGCAAAAAATTTATTTTGAGATGGTTGCCAACATATTTATCTTAAAATAAAGAAATTCATGTTTTTCTGTAGTCCAAATTAAATCTAGTAAGAGATTTGGATGGACAAGAATCAAGTTACCAAAAGCTAACCTTTTCTAATCATTGTATAAAAGAACCCCATTGCTCCCATTCAGAAAGGAGCAAATCTGATATAAGATAAGATAAGCACCAGAAATTGCAAAAGCATTTCATTCTGTATATCTTATCGCTTTTCCTTTTTTGGGGAGATTAGTGGAACTCTCCAATGAATTGATACCTAAAATCTCAGTCCTTGCCCACCACCATTTTCAGGGTAACTCACCAAAATATCATTTCTAATTAGGTGTTGGTCCCTTCAATGCCGGCCAAAGCCAAGTCAACTTTGGTGGTGGCTAGTAAGGGAAGGAAGATACACACCTCCCTCTTTCTTGAAATTCCCCACAAGTTTAAGTATCACCGTTAACTTGCTTATTAGAAATCATTAGATTTTAAGTCAAAAGGGTTCATAATCAATTTCAACCATAAGTCAAAAGGGTTCATAATCAATTGCGACCATACCATATTCCTCACATTCCACCGAACTAGTCTTGGGCTGATCTAATCTGAAAAATCAAGCAATTTAGTGTCATTGTTAGAACCTGAAACTTAAAGCTTTGTTTGAATAACTGATTCCATTGACAATGTATATAAAACGAACTCTACCACTATTAGATTAAAGTTTTCTAACATACAAGAAATTCTCATTAACAGTGGCTTTTATTTTTGTGCTTTCTACGTTTGACATTATTTCATCATTTCATAGACATGAATCAACAACAGTCCAAAAAAATGTTGCTCTCTTTAATCATACATTTTTTTTTTATTTGAAGGATAGCCTATATTGCTTTATGCTACATAAAAATGGATGTATGATTTTAAGAGCTAAAACTATGGCAGCAAAATGAACTTTAGAGAGGGAACAACACTAAAAGATAGGTATTCACTAAACCCTGTACAAGCTATGAGATGGGAATGATTTGCATATCTTTGGTTAACCAGCTTCTTTTCTTTTAGTATTTCCTTGCCGCATGGTAAAGCTCCATATAATCAAGTGCAGGCCGGTTCCAAGACCAGTCTTGCTCCATCACCCTCTTGCACAATGAGTAAAACCAATCCCGACCGTCATACCAACCAGATATTGCCCTATATTATCAATGAGTAATAAATACATCTCAAACCATCATATATATGCAAAACATAGGAAAGAGCAAGAACCCGGAGGAAGGGTACAAATGCAGCAAGTGCCATGTCTTCCTATGAGTATGGAAACTTGGAAACTAACTGATAATGAAGAAACCAATGCACTTAACAAACTTCCGTGCTGAGAAATAAACTCACCTATTAAGGGCATAATCGACTCCAGCACTATCAGCTCCATCGAAATTAAATCCGTTGGGTTCAAGACCTTGTGCTTCTGCTCTAGCTTTATCATGGTCAACATCAAATACAGTGTCATAAAGTCCTTAAAGAAAAAGTAGTGGAAACAATGTGTCAGTACACTTCGTGAGGTTCTAAGAACAGAAGCTCACCAAAATTCATATAAAATAGCACCTCCTAAGAAAACAATAAATTCAATGAAAATCATATGCAGTTTGTAAACATAAGAAAAATCTAGATGTCATTCGTAATGCCTGTACACTTCCATGCATCGAAACAAGAGATCATTCACATATCAAAACATCTCAGTAATTAACACACAATATTGTTCAGAGATACCAAAATTACAGACTTAAGTAAGTATGAACCTCCTGTTTTGCGAACAACAGGTATGGAACCATATCTCATTGCTGTCAGTTGCGTAAGTCCACAAGGCTCAAAAATTGAGGGGACTAGAATGAAATCAGCACCGGCATATATCTGTGAAAATAAATATAAAAAAAAAGCAGATAAAAATTGCTAGAATCATATTGCAGGAGCAAAATACAAGTATTCTCTTTCAGAGAATAATAATAAATAAAAATAAACTTTGAGAGCACACACCAAGTGAGAAAGAGGCTCATCATAGGTCAAACAAAGGCGAGCACGATCCCCATGAGTTGAATGCAGCTGATTGGCCAAATTGACGAAATCATTTTGGATGCGAGGATCAGGAGCAGAGCCAAGTAATACAACCTGTTGCCAAAACTTCCATCATTCACTTATTGAGATGTATTGAGTAGAAATACACAATCAAGGAGGCCCACATGAAACACTAAACTTCCTTGTTTATACATTCATTTCAAACAAATTAGACAACATGAATTGTGAACTGTGTTATGCTTGCATACTCGTGTCAAGAATGGTAAAATGAAATTCGTATAATATTGAGAGACTGCCAGAATTTGTGGTGAATATCACATCAATGTCACTACTTAGAAGTCCATACCGATAATGACCTCATATGTGTGATTCTATATGACCTCATAAAGGAGAGGGTAACCTGTCCATTGCGTTCTAAGGTGCGGCAAATTGCATGCTTGATGAGATGGATTCCTTTCTGGTGAGTTAAGCGAGTAATAATTCCAACCAAAGGAAGATCAGATTTTCTCAAACCAAGCCTTTGCTGCAAGGCTTCCTTGGCAGCTCGTTTGCCTTCAACAACATTTTCTGAAGTATAAGACATCTGGAAGGACAAGTATCACACATCAAAAGCAATAATAGGAAAAATAGGACAAAAGCTTCAAATGAAATGCTCTAGACGCCAATTTACACTTCTTTTTAGAGAGCATAAATTGCAAAAGTTGATTTAGAATATTGCATCCACAAAATTGTGAAGTATTTTAAGTCCCAATCATGGTGGTAACAGTTGGTATTGCTTGTTATATGATCAAGGCAGCAGATCAACACATTCAACAAAATACAACTTTAAACAGCATCTCCAAGATCTAAAAGGAGTTAAAGGAATGAAGAGGGAAAGAAGACGTGGAAATTTCTCGACAGAAAAAAGAAGGAACAAGAAGTCCCTTTATTTAAATATGAATCAAGAAAAAAAAATCTACCGATGCAAAACAGTTCCTTCTTTATTTCTTTTAAGGATTGAGGAAAAGCTCATAGATATCTACTTACAGGAATGAACTTATCATTATAGGGATCCCAAATATCTAAGTCAATTCCATTTAATATTCCATGGAACTTGTGGAGATGCGGAGCAATCGCAGGATTTCCAGCAACCTCCTTTGAGTAGGTGTGAGATACCTGCATAATATAAATAAACAGTAATTCAGACACCGTGACAGTAACTATGAAGGATAAAAAACCACAAATATCTTGTGTTAGAGACCATAACATGGTATTAGGATTAAGTAAAATAGAAATTTCTAATTTCACTGGATTGAATGTGCCACAAAGGGTTATAGATGTATCACTTGCTCACTATATTCTGAATCTAGTACATTATACTCAAGCACAAGGCAGTTATCTTTATAAAAAAAATTCAAATTCAAAGAGAATAGTAAATACTATGGACCTTTCTCCAAAAGATTAAGTTTCTGAAGCGCTTAGCAATTAGTTATATCTCTTCAAATGAAAATGGAAAAAGCTGATGCCTACTGGTCTGGTGATACCCAAGGATATGGTCCTAAATTGAGCACATTATATATCTTTAAAACATTTCCTATAAATTAAGTAAAGAATAAAGGAACATACTGTTATTGAAGTTCAAAAATTAAAACAGCAATATTATATTAAGTAAACTACACTAACTATGAGGAAATTTTAGGTACATACAGTTGTAGCCTTGTCTGCGTATGCCATAGCTTTCCCAATGAAGTGTCCTCCAAATTCAAGGTTATGTATGGTGAAGACAACCCGAGTTTTGCTGAGACCATAATGCATATAATGGTCCTTAAACAGCCCTGCAACTGGGGCACTAGACCAATCATGGCAATGGATGATATCCTACCAAGGGTTAAGCACACTTAAAATGATTATCCTTGGAATATTTTTCCCATACATGCTAGAAAGAGACAATCATTGAAGAGTGTCGTGCACCCATAATATTATTAGCTAAAATATTAAAAAAGCCCTTGAATTATTTCAATTTTCTTAAATAAGTTCCTATACTTTTACTATACCAAATAAACTTTTTTACTTTGATTTGTATCCGAATAAGCCCTTACTTCAAATGAAAGATTGATTTATGTTAAAAGCTTATTTAGGTATAAATTAAAGGGTAAGGGCTTATTTGGATATAAATTAAAGGTTAAGGGCTTATTTGGGTGCAATAAAAGTATAGAGGCTTATCTCAATAAAGTGGTAAAGTTGAGGGCTTTTTGTTATTATAGCCAAAATTCTTCTACAAATGAATAGTAAGGCCTATAGAGCTGAACAGCAAAGCAAGATGGGTTTGACAATTGCTAGGAAAAATAAAACCGCCATGCATGTAGGTAATTTACTCGATATACTACCAAGCACGTGGTTTCAAATATTTAAGCCAGAACCATATGTTGAATCGTGAACTTACAGGGTGAAATCCACCTTGGTGTAGAAATTCGAGAGCAGCGTGACAAAAGAAACCAAACCTTTCTGCATCATTTCTGCAACCATAAACACAACCTGTCCAAAAGAATCTGAAAGCAACAATACACCAAAAGATTCTTATGATTATAATTTTTTTTAACGAAGTGAAACATTTTAATTATTAAAGGTTCATCAGGAGTATAAAAATTACCCATTTTGTGGCTCCAGAAAATAAACTGAAAGACCTTCCACTTTTCCAAACCAAACTTTAATTTCAGTGCCACCCCAAGAATAGCTTCTTTGGTAATGCATGTCCTTCACCTATATCATAAAACATTCATTTGACAGATCTGAAATTCTTCAAAAGTTTGAAAAATGAAAAGAGATGAATGAATTGTTTTATATGTTTTTTGAATATTAAGATATGAATGAAAGACAATGAGAAGCAGATTATGTGACAATAAACATCTTTTAAGTAGCATCCACAAAATTTTTCATCATGTATAGCCCTAATAAAGATGAGGGAAGGTAAGCCTTGTATGGAAAACCCAATAAGAAAAGGTTATGCGACAATTTAACACTGATATATTATTAAAAGAAAAATGCACTTCAACCACCTCATGCAAGATATCTAACGCCACAAGCAAGCTTACAAACAGCATGCCTAGTAAGCAAGAATAAAAACCAGAAAAATCCATAATTTAAGTAAATTAAGGCAATCCAGTGAAAACAGTCAAGATTAAAAATCTGGCTAAAGTGACAGTGATGAAGCTTACATGGCTAAGGTTCAAGCAGTCATACTTTGGAAGAATGATGTCCACATTGTGGTTTAAATCTTGAACAGCACGAGAGAGACTAGTAACGACATCACCCAGACCTCCAACCTGCAAAGTTATAAAAAGGACACAATTGAGAAAAAGATGGAAAATGGAAAATCTTTTGGGTTTTTACTACATATTTGACCGCAAACTGGAAACAATACAACACAAAATCAGTTATATGACTTATATTAGGTCAAGAGCCCAGATGTCCATGATGTTCTATTTCTTTCTGAGGTTCAGCATCCTCTCCCCCAACTGTGTCATTTCCAAAACACTTCTCATTAGGAAAAGACATGTCACTCTGGCCTTCTTCCGGCCTAAAGAATTTTCTCTTCATTAAGAGAAAGAATCTGAATAGACTCATAAGCAATGAAAAACTATAAAAAATACCTTGATATATCAGAGCAATAAAAAAGTTTTCAAAGTGTAAACTCCCTTAATGTCCAAAAGTTACCTTTGCAATGGGGGCCATCTCAACAGCAATATGCACTATGTTCATTGGTGGCTCTTCCACAATTCCTCCAAAAACAGGTATATGGTAATCCATACCACCTTTGTTGTCAAAAGTGCCACCATCTTCCCTCTCAGAGAATACAAAGTCCATCATATATGCATCCAAAGGAACCTTGACTGCAATGACACATAAAGTAAGTCTTTGCTTCCAAAAGTAGAAAAAACCTCTAGAATGCAGGGACATTGAGAATGCAACATTAATACAAAGATTGAATACAATAAAAGCCAAAAATTAAAAAAAGGGCCATATGTAACCTAAGGAGATGATACAAAGCAACAATTGATAGGTCATATATGCCTAAAACTTAGGCACAGATTGAATTCCAAACAATTTAATGTCTGGATCTGTTCTTCACATTTATTCTCTTGGACCAAAAGATCTTTCAAGAGGAGAGGGCCAGCAAGCAGAAGATAATAAAATGGTGAATGCAAACAGCAGATGATCCAAGAAGCAGTACAATTTTCTATTCACAAAAATGGATTATAAAAGATACTGATAGATGAAATGTCATAACCACAAAATATACACAAACCATGTATGTTAGCTTTACTCGTAACAAGAACAAGGTGCAATGGGGGAGATAAAGAAAAGCTTAGTCTCCATGTAAAGAGAACAAGCAATAACTGAACAGTCCCATATAACTCAAAATCCTGATAATAAGGTTGACTGAATTTACCAGTTGCTTTTACATGAGAAGCATTGTCTGCAGGCAACATTTGTTGAGGTGGTAATGGACCCATACGGTGAGTCCAACGATTAAATGAACATCTGAACCATACTTCAGGTTTTCCATTAAGAACCGTGTTAGCAGGATTGTAAAAAACTGTCACCGTTGTTCCTGCCTGAACGTCAAGAGGCTCAGTATAAACTATATGCTTTTGAGAAAGCAGGAATCTCTTTAAAGTACTTTCTTTCATTTCTGCTTTCATAGATGCTGTCTTCTCAGCCTATGACAGGAGAAGAATAAGAAAAGAAATACGTAAATAAAATTGAGATAAATGAAAATAAACTTTTTTTATCTTTATTTCTACTGGAAGTCTGGAACACAAGAAAACTAATATCAGTCAATATATATGCAGAAAATAAATTCCCAATGGTTCAAAATTAACATTCTTGTCATAAGAAGAAAAAGCATTGAACAGAAGTCAGCAGTAAACAAACCAAGCAACTACATCTATGTCTCTTCCATCACAGTCAGCGGAAAACAACCCTAATCTTTCACTACAAAGTTCTTAAATGTGACTAGCCTAATCTTTCTGCAAAATATCCTTAGGTTTGCATGTCTTGAAAATTACACCATTCATAAATTCAAAAGGAGAAGGTAGAATACTATTAGAATCTTCAATATGTTTTATTATGCAGAAATTGAAAGTAATTATTAGGAATATAGTTTTATGGAAACTGACCTTGGCACGTACAGCCTCCTCCCTTAGTTTCCTCTCCTCTTGAAGCTTCCTAAATATCTGGTGTTCTTCCTCAACCCAGTACAGCTCTTCAGAAATGCTTCTTGGAACAATTGCATGGAAATCTTGATAATTATTGTTATCATACACAATGGCAACCTTAGGTGGTCCATTAGCGAAGACCCAATCCAGCACAAGGGCTCGATCAGGTATAACAACTGCAGAAAATTTCCAATCTCATTCATATTATGAAACACCACAGAAATGTCCCTCTTTATTACAAAATATTATCTCAATTGACTATCCAGCTAGTTCAATTAGATGAGCCACAAAACAACTGCATTTCAAAAGGAATCAAATGGCTCTCTACCCAACCAAATCAAAGACATTAAAGAACCCAAGATAGAAGCAGCAAGCATTATGTAATTCCTGTATGTAATTTCAATGCAAACAAAGTTCCCATAAGGTCAAGCAAGCATGTTTATGGCCATAACAATCACTTTATTCACCAAAGCTTAAACATCCAATATCTTGTATATTAAGCAACATTTCCTAGCATTTTGATAAGTATCTCAAAAGGGAATCCACAATAAAGTGTAGCAAATGTTGTGGATCAAATTTTGGCAGATTTTAAACTCTAGACCCATAGGATATCAACTTTAATATCACCCACAGTGTACCAACAACAAATTAAACAGAAGGTAATAGGTCAACCATACCTTCAGCATACCACCAGTCACCACCCGCTCTCTCTGATCTGACAAGCTTTTCGATGATTGTTAATCCATCATTCCAATTATTATGCCCTCCATGAATCCAAAGCTCATTGGCATAAGCAAGAGGACCTGAACTTTTGTTATAATATAACTTGACCTTGTCCATGCCCTTGAATTCCTTAGGCTCTATGAACCAAATATTATCAACTGACCTTGCAGCCTTTTTCATCAATTGTTGCAATATTTCTCGCCTCCTTTCAGTCTCCATCGTTGCTTGTGTTCTTTCTGCCTCGCTTGCTGCCTTCTCTGCTTCTATTCTTCTCTGCTCTTCTTCTTTCCTTTCCTTTTCAGCCTGCTCTTTTGCAAGTTTCTCTAGTTCCCTTCGCTTCTCCTCAAGCAAGAAATCTTCAAATGCAAACACATCCATTCCACCCTCCACAGGTATGCAGAAATCCTTTTTATCATTATTGTCATACACATTCTGCCCATTAAAGAACACAAAATCCATCTTGTAAGCTTCCTTCGGAACATGAATCTGGCAAGACCACCAATCCCCTTTGAGATGTGTCTTATTCAACCTTTTAGTGAATGATCTCCATCGCCAGTCATTGAAGGCTCCCATGATCAGAATATCTGGCTCATCGTTCAAAGTGGAGAAAGTCCTATTAAAGAACAGTTCTATGTCTTCTTCAGGTTTTACAATCTGAGGATAAACAAAAATTTTGTTCCCCCTCGAGAAGTTTTCCTCAGCAATCCCCTCAATTTCCTGTTTACGCGAATTTGCTTCCATCTCCAACTTCAGTTTTAGAGAAGTATCTTCAATTGTTTTTTCATCAGACTCAACAATTTCATCCTTGACAGTAACAGTGTCATCAGTTTTTGTGCCATCCAAATGCTTTCCTTCAGAGGCTACATCTCTTGATGTACTCACAATATCATTTTTTAAAATTGTTTCTTCTGTAACATCTTCAAGAATCTTACTTATGCTCCCATTTTCCACATTCTGGTTGCTTTTACCAACAGCTAACTCTTTGCCCATTGATAGTATATTCTCTTTTGACTCTTCCTTTTCACCTTCATCTACCTTATTCTTCTGATAAAGCTCAACAGTTGATTCTTCCTCAACAGCAACATTTGATTCAATTTCTGTCTTGTTAGGCTCTGCAAACTCACTTGATGTACCTTCATCTACCTTATTCTTCTGAAAAAGCTCAATGATTGATTCTTCCTCCAGGGCAACATTTGATTCAATTTCTGGCTTGTTAGGCTCCACAGACTCACTTGATGTGGGAATACTTGAATCCTCATTCTCACCATCATTCTTTTGATCCCTCTTCTGGGTGCTTGTGCCTACTTGTGTTTTCGGGGTGAAACCCTTCGGTGCTTTACCTTTAGAGCTTGGGTTAGACAGTCTTCTTTGTCTCCTCTTTGAAAAATCTACAGAAAGTCACAATATTATAGAACAAATCAAAGATTGGTTACCAAAAACGTTAAGTTGAAACCTTAGCACATCAGTTAGCAACAACTAACCAGCTGCACCAGCAGCAACCCTATGTGAAAGCCTGCTGGAAGGGCACTTGGTACGCCATGGAGTAAACTGAAATCAATAATCAAAATTTGCACAAGCATATGTAAGGTAAAAGCAATCCCAATACAATTCCACATGAACTTATATACTAAGAGTAATGCTACAAACAGACGTAACATTGCCGGAACAAGTAGTACTATTAGTAAGGAGTGAGATTTCTATGGAAAATAATAAAATGAAACTAAAAAAAACTCAATAAAAAACAATGGAAAGACATGATTTTCATATATGAAACAACAAAAAATCAGTACTACCACTTATCATTTCAATTACGAAAGAGAAAACACACGAATCTTTCAAATCAGACGCACATAAAAAACCAAACTTTGCGCTCAAAATCAAAAAAGAACAAGAACACTGAAAACCCAACAACCAAAAAAAAAAAAAAACAGTAAGTTTACCATTGTAGTTCTCGCAAAAGGGAAGGAACCCAGAAAAGGTTTGATCTTGAAGCAGCCATCCGTGTTGTTAAACACAGCTTTGTAACTCAATGGTCTTTCTACTTGCAAAGACATTTCCATGGCTAAGTTGTCAGAACAGAAGAGGGAATGTTTGTAGTTCAAGCTTTGCTTCTAGGAAAATTTTTTCTTCACTGAAATCTGTAGTTATCGATGCATTCGTGAACTTGATCCCTTTAAAACGGTGCAAATCTTTGAATTTAATATTCCAAAAATAATTATAAAAATCCAAAATTTTATATTATACAAAAACAGGGAATAGAAGATGGAACTGACGCCTGGCTGATAACAGCCCCATCAAAAGAGTCGTAGAATCTCATCCATTAAAAAACTACAATTTTACAATGTTTTTCAATCTAAGATATCAAACTTTTAATAATGTGATGACCGTTGGTCTAAGATTGCTGTTTGATCGTACGGTCAAACATGAGTTGAAGTGGGTGTTCTGAGAGGTTTGGGTGCAGATAAAAGCAGCCCTTGACTAACATATCATAAAAATCTTTTTAAGAATTCGAAGTACTAAATAGGCTTTTTAAGGCTGCTAGTTGATGAAGAACCGTAGAATGGAATCCACCAGGACATTGGCACGTCAAATTGGAAGATGCCATGTGGTCTCATCTCTGGGGCATAGTTTTTTAGCACAAGTCAGCATTGGTGTTATTGCGAAGTTGTGTGCTACTGCTAAGTTTATTATATCTCTTCTTTTAGACTTGAAGGACGTAGGAATAGATTTACGTAAAGTTTTATACGAGAAATTTATAAAAATTTTTATTAAAAAAAATAAATTAAAATTAAAATTTATAAATTAAAAAATTTCATCATATAAATAAAAAATTTTATTAAATTTGTTAAATAAATATATTTAATAAAAATATTAATTAAATTTTTATCATTAAATAAATATCAATTAAATTTAAATTATAAATAATATTTTTAATAATTTTTTTACGTATCATTGATTTACATATTAAATTTTATTAATTTATTGATTTAAATTTTTTATTAAACTTTTTATTTATTTATATTTTTAAAAAATTTATAAATTTTATTTATAAAATTTTATGTAAATTTTATCAAAAGATGTAACACATATCATTTACAAAAACAAAAAGTTTTTAGCAAATTTCACTCTTCAAACTCAAATTCAAGTCTCAAACCAAAATTAAAATTCATTAAATCTAGCTTTTTCAGTGATACAAGTTTTTCTTTTCTTTGAACATATCCAAAACCGGATAGTAATCTGTATTGCCAAAGAAGGATACGAAATGGAGCGGAAAAAAAAAATGAAAATTTATAACTGTTCATCTCATATGATCTATAAGATCAATATTTTTGAATTATAAAAATCATTAGTAATTTTTCACCGTATAGCATTTAATAACTCTCGTAATTTCATTAATTTTATTTGTGTAGATTTACATTAAATTTGTGAAGTATCGAAGGCTCGCATATTTTAATTTAGATCTTTATATATAGGTTTCATAATTTTATCTCATAAAATGGATCTTATATATTTGAATTTAAATCTTTATATATATATTATATTATATTTATGTATTTTTTTAATATTAGATTGATGGCATTATAATCTTTCAACTTTTAAAACTTGATAACATCACATATTTGAATTTAAATATATATATATATATCATACAACACCTTTAAAGGATTAAAATTATACTAAACGTTAAGATTCTAAAGGTAACTTATCTGTAGCACGTAATTTTTGAAGTGATTATTTTGATAGTATTCGTAAAGATTCGTACTTAACTTATGAAATATTATCCACTTTAACTTAAAAATCTCACGATATTATATTATAAAAAATGTTTCACATATTTAAATTTAAATATATATATCATATTATATTCACATATTTTTTATATATATATAATATTATACCCACACGTTCTTTTAATATAAAATTAAAGAATATAATTTTGCGACTTAAAATTTTTTCAATATATTAATCCAGGAATTATGTCTCCATGTATGGTACATTGGTTATTCCAACACATTTTTTGTTTGTTTATTTTCTTGTTTTGCCAAGAAAATATTCCGAGTCAAGAAGGATTTTAGTCCTAAACTCAAGTCCCACAAGGTTATAGTATACGAAAAAAATAAAATAATAATGAAAAACCCCACTGAGTTTTCATTGTTTGTAAATCAAAACATGCTTAGTTTCTGTCCACTGAATTTCTCTTTTAGCAATTTTCCATTATAATTTGCAATATCTTTTGTCAGATTAAAGTTTTTTATAGCCAAACTCTTCCCTGCTGAGTTTGAAGCTTGGGGCTTGGCAAACCCAAGAGCAACATGTGAATGTGACCTTACCTTTACCAAACCTTTTTTTTTCTTGTTTACCTGTGAAAATCAATGTATTGTTGCTTTAAACACCGCAGAAGTGGCTTTCACCTTGCCTTCTTTATGGCCAGAGTTTAGCACATGTTTTTCCTGATTGTTTTTTTTTTTTCTTTTTCTTTACCATTAATATGAGTTGGGAGTTGGGGGACCTCTGCCTACTTCTCCAATCCTTAAACCAACCTGGAACGAGAGCTTTGCTTGTCATGTAGGGCAGCTGCACGAAAGGGTGGTCAAACAGATTCATATGGTTAGCTCCAACTAGTTGGCATCAAAGCCTTTATGCAGGATTCTGTGCTTTTTGTTGCTTTTGTCTGATAAACTGCAGATCATATCTAATTTCTCATTTAGGTGTCTAAATTTCTAGTGAAGTTAACTTAGATCCACCAAATTTCCTAATGAAAAACATTGATCGGATGTAGTTGTATGGATTGATAGTGGCATGACAGAAGCACATGGCATCAGGAACTTGAGACGATATATCATATCACTAGAATTTCAAGGCTAACGACATGACAATTTGTTTTGATATTTGAAAAAGGAGAAAACAAGATAAAAATTTTGCATAGTTTTGAAAATTCAGGAACGACTGTCATGAGGAGGGACTGCTGTTACTGCTTTTTATCAGCAAGACCTTTTGGAAAGGCAACATTTTAACGGTCTGAATTTCGATCAAATTTAGAGCACAGAAGGGAAACTAAGGCTTTATTGATGCTTCTGCTATGAAGCAGTTGTGTAGAATGAAGCTTGATTCATCTGTCAGTTTCCGTTCAAGGACTAAGAATGGAAGCAAATTAAGGGGACCCTTTGGTAAAAACTCCAACTAGAACAAGTATTTTACATGTAATTAGGGGGAAAAATAACATACAAAGATGGGTAGAATGCTCTTCTATTTCAATTCGAAAACACATTGCAGTTCTCATCGTGCAAAGAGTTTATGCGCATTTGAGAATTACAATGCAAAAAAGTACTATCTTATCTGCATAATTGTTCTTAAACAAGGATATAGGAATGAGAAGGAAATTACTCATAAATTTTTTTTATACCCACAAAGAAACACGATTGTTAGGAAAAGAAGAAGCGCAAATTCATTAGGCCATCGCATCGGCACCGGCAGCAATCTCCAATATCTCTCCTGTGATTTTCGCTTGACGCTGCCGATTGTAGAGAATAGACAAGGTCTTTCTCAATTCCTGGGCATTATCAGAAGCATTGCTCATGGCACTCATCCTAGCAGCAAGCTCACTAGCTAATGATTCCTGCAAAGCTCTTAAAACCTGGCTGTTTAGATAGAGAGGCAATAAAGCATCAAGAATCTGAATTGGATCCTGCTCAAACTGTAAAATGGGAGAGAATCCCTTTGTCTCAATCCTCATAACATCTCTCTCAACTGTCAGTTTCCCTTCCTTGGTTGTCAATCTGAAGAACTCATCCTCAGCAGCATCAACACAAACCCCATTTATATCACAGATCTCTCCCTTTGGTGAGAGTGGCAGCAAAGTATGAATCACAGGATCAGACTTAACCAACGACACGAACTTGGTATACAAAAGCTCTACTTTATCAACTTCTTCACTAACAAAGAGTGCAAAAACATTATCTGAAATGGCCTGAGCTTCTTTAGCTGTAGGGAGTGAAGTACCATCTATAAACCTATCCACTGGAATGTAAGGCCTACGGATAAAATATGAGTTACCCTTTTTCCCTACACTAATTACAGTATAATCAAGTCCAAGCTCCTTTAATTCTGAAATTCTTGCTTCAGCTTTCTTGATGACAGCATTGTTGAAACCTCCGCAAAGGCCACGATCACCAGTAACAACAACCAAGGCAACTTTTTTGACAGGCCTAACATTTGTAAGAGGAAGATCTATGTCTTCAGTCTGGATTTGTTCATTGATGCTGTAGAGAACTTCTACCAGAGACTGAGAGAAGGGTCTAGCATTGACCACAGCTTCTTGTGCTCTCCTGACTTTAGCAGCAGCAACAAGCTTCATGGCTTCAGTGATCTTTTGTGTGTTCTTTACTGAATCAATACGACTTCTAATCTCACGGAGACTACAGTGAACTGGGGTTGCAGATGAGGACCTTGAAGGGTTACAGGGACTTGAACTTTGAGAAGGAAGCTGAAAAGGGCTGATGAAAGAAAGGAAAGAAAGTGAAGAGGTGTCAGAAATAGATGGTTTTGATGACACCCACATTGTCAGATTAGAGCAAGACATGGTGACAATGGATTCAGGAGCTCTACAAGAAGAGAATTACTCTAAAGAGAGAAAGAGGAGAGCGTTTTTCTTTGTGGGTTTCCTTTTGTATAGACCAAATTTGGTTTTGTGAATTCTTATCTTTTCGTGTGTTGGGAGTGGTTTCTGGTATGAAGGAAATGAGAAGGAATGAGTGGAGGGAGAGGGAGGGAGTGGATGAGGTTTGGGATAAGGATTTCGACCGTTGGAGATTGCTCGAGACAGTAGATTGATTCATTCCTTGTGGTTGAGGTTTGGGATAAGGATTTTGCCCGTTGTAGATTGCTCAAGAGAGTAGTTTGATTCATTCCTTTGTCACCCTTACATCCTGGTGTGACCTATCTGATGTGGCAAGATCTGAGTGGTTGTGTTTTGGATCTTAACTTGATAGGCTTCCTACTCGGAAAGGTATATACGGCTCCAGGAATTTAGATCCTCCCAAGTCTCAGCTGCTCGATGTGATTCCCAGGAAATATTTACTTCTTGATATTATCATGTCAGGTAATTCTCAGGAAATAAGCTGCCTCTTCTATTGGGTATGTTTAAGTTAGTTAAAATAAGCTACCTCTTCTATTGTGTATGTTTAAGTTAGTTAATCTCAAGCATCTGTAGAACATTCCATCTTCTTGTACGATTTTGTGTAATAAAGGTTCAACGTAAATGCCATTATTGTCAGCATTCTCCTGATACGGGAAGCCAGACTTCATGCAGCAATAGTTTTTTTTTCTCCTGGATGGAGAAAAGATCAAAAGATCGAGCTTTATTATCTGAATCTCCATTTATATTTCCGTAGAAAAAGATTGCGTTATAGAAAACAAACGCGCCTTGGACATTTTGCTGGTGTACTGTACCCTCGAACAATAGGGAAAAAAACAAAAAGGATAAAGAAATTTCCTGGCCACACAATCATGGGGCAATACATTACTGGTCAGATCAGAAGATCGATTTCAATTTAATAGGACGCAACGTCTGCATCAGAACTGAAATGCCCGTATTTGGGTCTTTGCAGATCAGTGTTGCCAGAGCTATGACTTTCAATATAGATATATTTTGAACCCAAGAAGGGGAAGAAAGGATGGTAAACCAAAGCATGCACTCGAACTGTAACACGTGGAAGGGATCCTATCAATAGGCAAATGCAAGTATTTAAGCATTGCAGGCCCCTGAAATCTTAAGAGGCCACATTGATTATTTCATCTTTACAATTATATATATATATATATATTTAACTTTTCAGATAGATGCCTATTCATTCATACGCAAGAAGAATTATCCTTGTAGAATCCATATACCACTTATGAACAAACAGATCCATCCTAGAACCGTTCTTTTGAGTAGGAAATTTCACATGATAATACATCCAATCGCATACAAAATCAACTTATCATATTCAATCATATTGCGTGACAGATGCACAGTTGGCCACATCATATGCGAAACCTTATAAGTATAAATTTCTCATTAAGGAAAAAGGTTCTCAGTTTTTCATTACCTGATGACAATAAAGAATAAGAAAGAAAAATTTTAAGCCAACTGAACTAACATAAGAAAATATTAAAACTAAACTTTAGTCTCCTCATTTTCTTCCCCAAGAAGAGGGCCAACAATAGCCTGGTATGTCTGTTTGTCAGGAATCACTCCTTTAAGCACCATGTAGTCATGCAATTCAATCACTTCATCTGGACTACAATTCTTAGCAGAACAGGTAATGAGCATTGTGTATGTTATAAAATCAGGAAGCAGGCCCTGTAGAACCATTCTCTTCATTAGTTCTTTTGCTTGTTGAATGCATCCACGCTTGCAAAGAAAGTTTATCAATGTGTTGTAAGTTACTCTGTTTACTAACCTCCTCTCCATTTTCATCTCCAAGAATAAAGCAAATGCCTCCTCAATATTACCACAGCCACAATAACCACTTATGAGAGTGTTATATGTTATGGCATCAGGTAAACCCATACTCTTTAATGAATCTGTCATCCGACTCGCAACATCCACTGACATCTCCTTGCAGAATCCATTAAGAATAGAGTTATATATCACCATGTTAGGTTCTTTCTTCACCTTTGCCATTTTTTCATAGATCTGAACAGCATTTTCTACCTTCCCTTCCTTGCAGTACCCATCAATTAAAGCACCATATGTGACCAAGTCAGGAATTAAACCATGGATAAACATGCTGCCTAAAAGTTGCATGGCTCCTGATAAATTATTGCTTTTACAAAGGTAATCGATGAGAATATTGTGTGAGAATGTGTCTTCAATGACATTCTTTTCTAGAAACCGGCTATGAAATTTAAAAGCTTGCATCACATGTCCATTTCTGCAAAGCCCCTTTATGAGAGTGGAGTAGGTGAATTGATCAGGGAATACATGCTTGTCAATCATGTCAGATAAAACTAAAGAAGCTCCCTCCATATCACCTTCCAGGTAAAGCCAATGGAGGATTGAATTATAAACAACGGTATTAGGCATCAAGCCCCTTTCCACCATTTCATTGCATAGTCTTAGTGCTTCCTCCAAACACCCTCCCCGTGCATAACCATCTATCAAGGTTGCATAGGTCGTTACATTGGGCTCAACAACTGCCTTAACCATGTCATTAAGAATATCTTCCACAAATGCAACTTTCCCTAATTTGCAAAACCCATTAATGATAGTATTGTAAGTTACAGAGTTGGGTGAAACAGAGTTCCCTGACATTACTCCCATCTTCCCAACTAGCTTCAAGGCAAGCTCTATCTCACGCATCCTACAAGCTCCATCTATTATCATATTGAAAGTAACAACATTAGGCCAAATCCCACTCTTCAACATCTGATAAAATTTTGAAATAGCTTCTAGTAATTTACATTCCTTACAAAGAGCATATACAACCAAGTTGAAAGTATTCACATTCTGGATATACCCATAAGAAATCATTTCCTTATACATGTTCCAGAATCTACCAATTTCATTAAACTTCAAAAGATGACTCAAAAAATTATTCCAAGCATGAATGGAAACAAAATGACTCTCCATTCTCAACTTCTTAATGACTGCGTAAGCACCCTCAACAGACCCACAGTTAGTGCAAGCTCTAACCAATGCATCAAAGACTGCTGGACAGGAATCACAGAATTCATAACTATCCACCAAACCATCCAAAACTTCCAATGGGGTCATTCCATTTACACGCATTAAATTCTCCAATAGAGATAATGCATCATCGAATCTCCTCGACTTGACCAACACATGAATTAGAGCACAACAGGATTCCAATGAGTGTGAAAAGCGTTTTTTCTCCCCAACCCAATTGTAAAATTCCAAGGCTAACCGAGGTGAGTTCTGAAACTCGCGAACAACACGACTCACTAATGCATTTGTAAGACTTAGAGACACTTGCTCCATGAATTTCCATCTCCTATGTCTTAAATTAACGCAAATTGCTCCGAAGACAATGTCTTCACTACTTGGGTAAGAGAATTGCTTACCTACATGCAAACCTCGGCTGAAAAGACACCTTCTTTTGGACATAAGAGCTGAAAACCATTGAAATATCAACATCCAAGAATCGGATTCGTCTTTCCCGTTCTTCTGTCCCAAGGGATTTTTTCTAACAGCTGTGTCCTTGTTGCAAGGCCCCTTAGTATAGATGCCCCTGCAATCAAACAATCGGAAAGCCTTTTGACAATCTTACTAATACAAAGGGAAAAAAATGTTCCTAATGATAATCAAGGCCCCTATCATTGGTATTTGACAAGCTTACTAATAGAAAAGAGAAAATGCGCCCAAATAACCTATTTTACTAATAATAATGAACGCCCCATCGTTGGCAAAGCTACAACTGGAAACCCGGCCCCACCTTTAGCAACAAGGGCGTTTAGGCTCAGCTAGTAAAATAATAAAGCTTTTACCGTAGTTAATGCTAGGAGTTTTCGTTTTAAATTCTATCATTATACACTTATACACTTAACAATAAGGATTAATTTTAGTTTTAAGATTATTAGATGAGGATCAATCTTAACTATTAAATGTTAGACGATACCATTTTATTTAAGTGTTTGGATTGTTATGTAAAGATTAATTTTGACAATTGAAATATTAGATGGTGAAAATTAATCATAGTCATTGATTTATTAGTTAAAATTAAATCTGAGTCATTGGATGAAATTGATAAATAAATCAGTGTTTTATCATTTGTTCGGGAAGCAATTGAGAGAATCCAGTAATTGTGGCAAGTTTCTAACTCTTTTAGCCACGACAACAATTGTAATTCATTAATTTTGATTTTTCATTCATAGTATAGTTTCCATTCTTTGGTTATTAAAGTTTTTTAATCTATAATTAACTTTTAATAGTAGTTGTTTAGATTTGGAACTTAAATCTAAATTAATTATCTTATATTTTCTATTTGATTTACTTTATTAAATAGTTTTTTAAACAAAGATATAGACAAATCTATATCCAATAGTAGTGCATTGATATAAACTAAAATATTGAAAATTTTCTTAAGCAAAATTTCTTCAATATTTTCATTTGTTGGTAATAATCTTAGTCTTTAGAGTCTTAGTTACTTTCCAGATCCGATAAGGTTAATAAAACCTTTCTTTTTCAAAAATTTCAATAAAATTGATAATAGTTAATAATTAAAATATCTTATACAATAGGTAAATAATTTTATTCTTTCAAAAGATATTTTTAATACTTAAAAATATAGTTTTTTTTTTCACTATATTTTTTATTGCTATAATAATATTTAAGTAAATTTAAATTATTGTTATTAATTTAAGGACTCTTAGTTTCACTCGAAATATTAGATTAATGAAAGTTTGATATTCAAGAAAATATTGCTACAAAATTTGATTTTTAATTTTTAGATATTTCATGTATTTTAGATCAATAATTAGTTGAAAAAAATTCATAAAATTTAATTCTTGGTATATTACCATAATTGAGTTTTTGACAACCTTAATGAGTAACTTTTTAATTTTGTTATTAAAATATTATATAATAAATTGTTAACGACAAAAACTTAGCTCTTTTAGCATCGATAAAAGATTCTTTTAATTGATTGTTATTTTAATTTATAAGGCGTTTCTCATTATGAACATGTTAATTGATCCTTTTTTTATAATTTATAAGACAGATCAATTAAGGCGTTTGTGTTTATGAATGCCTTAATTGATTTTTTTTTTTGTTCATATTCAATTGAGGCATTTCTCATTATGAATGCCTTAATTGATTTTTTTTTTATAATTTATAAAATAGATCAATTAAGGCATTTATGTTTATGAATGCCTTGATTGATCATCTTTTTTTTTTTTATAATCAATTAAGGTGTTTGTGTTTATGAATGCCTTAATTGATCATCTTTTTTTTTTCATAATCAAATAAGGCATTTTTCATTATGCCACATTTATGTTTTTTCATGTTATATGTTATTTAATTAATATCATGCCTATTATTTTGCAGGGGTCATTAGTAGCTTATTGTAATTGAGACAAATACGTGGACAACTAGTGTCGATGGTTATACCTAATCTTGCCAATTTAATAAAAAGGTATCATATTTTATGAATAAGAGATAATTAGATTAAATTGAGTTTTGTGTAATTACATTATTTATGTTTATTATAGTTTTTGTGTTCAATTTAGGGGAATGGCTGCAGTTCATAAAAATAGAAAGTTCAATTGGGTGATATTATTGATATGTGTAACATATATTATTTTATCCTCAATTTGTTTAGATAAATGTTTACCAACCTACTCAATTTTATTTTCAAGTTTCTCGTCAACCAAGAGTTACCGAATGTGGATATTATGTCTTTTGTTTTATAAGGGAGATTGTTATGTATGATCTTATGAGTACACCATTTAAGATTAGTATAAATACCATATAATAAGTTTTATCTTTCAATTAAACTTACAAAATATTGTGCAAGTTGATTAACATTGACTTCTTATTTTTTGTTAATAGTAGGTGAATAAAGAAAGCTTCACATAAGAAGAAATATATGAAGTTTGTAAAGAATGGTGTGATTATGTACCCATTTTTGCACAACCTTAATGTTGGATAATGAAAATTGGTTGTAAATATATATAAACGTTCCAAAATTTTTGGTATAGGCATTATGATTGTGTATTTATTAATTTTTATAAGTTTATATTTGTTTAAATTAAAACCAATGCCAAGTTATTTCATTTAAACAGTATGACAACAAATTTCTTATATCATTCGCATTCTACAAGTGGAATGTGATCACTTTGGGGCAAATTATTCATCCTAATGTTGAATTGAAGATCAAATAATTTCACAACACATACACTCTACAAAACATTTATATTAATACAATATGAAATTAGTAAATCCAAATTGTTATATCATTTACATAAGTACGATACAGATATGAAAATAGACAAAAACAAATATTTATATCATTCACACAAGTACGATTTTTTATCTAACAATACAAATGTGAAATTAGTCCTATATACAATATACAATATTAAATTTCAGTCTAAATAAATGAATTTATAACATGCCACTCTATTTGCATTAAACAAACCTCTTCCTGCCTTAATTAAATAAATATGTTTAAAAAATAATATATGAATATTTATACATAATGTAGTGCATTCTACATATGTCAAAAAAGAGGAAAGTTAAACGATGGGCGATATGCATTACATTCGTTCAATTGTTTTCCAATGTAATCCTTTCTAAATACAAGTGGCAGAGCAATAAAAAACTCAATTTTGTGATTTTTTTAACATATACTCACCAACAGTGATCATTTAATCAGGTAAGAAACCGTCGAGTTGTATTATTTCATTGAAAAGTGACATTTTTTTATCACGACTCTTGACTTCTTTTTTGAAGAAATTTGAAATGCCTTTATCACATTCACAGCCCTATCATATAAAGCTCCAAGTTTGCCTATGTGATCGACCAATTTAGCAATTGGTTCATCTTTACTCCTAGAATGCTTCTTGCCTGAAAACTTTTTAAGGTTGCTCGTAGTAGTTGAACCAATTTCTTCTTCATCTCCTCTCTTCATATTTCCTTCAGTATGGATATCAAATTCTAAACAGAAGTAAGCATCCTTAGTAGCATTCAATGATTCAACTAAATCAATTGCTATTTTAGTTTTTTGACCAATTGCTCTATCAAATTCGAATTTCATATTAAAATCATCAAAGAAAAAAAATGTTTGTTCTTTAACCCTTAAGGATGTGTATGAGTCTACATAAAAGTTAAAGCAAATACGAATAAAAAAAAAATAGAAAAAAAGTAAGATAAGCCATAATTTAATACGTTAAAAAACTTACCCAAACCTACTTATCAAAAACTTCCTTCTTGGATATTATACATTTTTCTTGATCATTCCACTTAATCCATTAGTATTTTTCATATCACAAATTGCGTGATATTGTTTCTTTAGTAGTTTTACCCTGGACTCAATGTAGGGGGTGATTTTAAGTTGGAAAATAGGAATTAATTAATCCAGCATTTGTTCAAAACAACCTAAATATCCAATACGGAATATCCCATTATCCATTTTCTATCTAGGATCATTTACCAATGAATGTAATATTAAACCAAATAGGAATCCTCCTCTTTTGTCCAAGAATTATTACCTACCCTCAAATTTTTTAGTTCTTTTCTAGGTAGGCCTTGTACGGATTGCGAAGGATTAGCATGCGATGAAGACGTGCTCAATTCCTAACCACATGGTTAGACATTATGCAATAATATTAATATAGTAAATCAAAAACCAATCAACGGAATGATTTAAATGAATACACATGGAAAGAAAACAAAAATGTGTGTACTAAAAATTGTAATATACATTGGACACTCAAGGAAAAAAGAAATATCAGATAAACATATATTCAACAATAATATAAATCAAATTCTACACTTAACCATATGGTGCATAAATCAAATATATTAAGCAAACATTATAGCATACAAGAATTTCTATAATGTTCTTATTCTCGGTATTGTAACCAATTGATGAACATCTCATTAGTCAGATTGTCTTTAAACTGAGTCTAAGAATCAAATGGCTCTACATACATAATCAAATCTTGATGTTCAGATCCATTTGGTTGGCTAAACTTCTTTTAACAATATCACCTTCAATAAGGTCAATTACCATCTTAAACCTAATAAAATTACGGAGAAAGCAACAAGGAAAAATGATTCTACACTATGTTTTTATTGAATAAAATGACTTTTCCCTTAAAATTATCTATCTAGCTTTCAATATACTAAAAAATCTCTCGATACAATTTCTTGCTTGAGGGTGTTTCATATTAAAATATTTTACGAGGTTATTGGTTGGAGTCCTAACCCTAAATCACTAAGATGGTATCGTTGATCTCTATAAGGTGACAAGAAACCTTCCCTATTTGTGTATCCGATATCACACAAATAGTAATTATCTGTTACAGTGGAACAACATTAATAATATGAAAAAAATATTTTCTATTATAAAGCTAAAACAAATATAATAAAGAAAATATCTTGCGAGATCTTCAATCTATTCTTACGTGTACTGGTATACCTTAGCATTCTACCGCCTGCTGCAAAACCTTCACATGTAGGCAAAACATATATAAATTGCATATTAGGGTGTAAACACCAATGACATTGGTAGCAATTTCATTTTTCCTGTTCTTGTATTAGGCCTATCAATTGCATCTACATTGACCTCGATGAATGTCCCATTTAAAGCACCAAATAACCTTTAAATCATTTTCATCTATTATCTATTGAATTATCTTGATATCGGTTCGAGTTTTTTAAACAAAAAAGTATGCAATCTTAAAACAAAATTTAACACAGAATGGAATTGCTTACTAATCGTCTATCCATATATAACTACTTGATGCTTTATAACCCTATGTTTTGTATGATGGGCTATGATGTAGATGAAGCTAATAACTAGTTTTTTTATTGACATATGTC